CGAATTGCAATCGCAAAATGCACATGGTCAAACTCGGCATTTGTGCGATTCAATTGTTTTATGCACCAGCATGGAATGTCAGTTTGCTTTTTCAAATAAATCCAATTTAAAAACACTTCGCAAATTCCCATGAGCATAGATACTCTGTAAGTGCACTATAATCGCATTTCATATGCATACATAAAGTTATTTGTTTACCGACGAGTGCACAATATCCATTCTAAGCCAATATTGCGCCGTTCAGCAATATTATTTCAATTCAAACACCCAACAAACAGTGTGCAATGCAATTTCTCAATGACTCTCGGTATGTGTGTTTGCGTATTGTGTTTGGATACTTTTTAACACAAACCCATTGTGAGTTGACTTCGCCCTTCTGAAAGTTTGAAAAGTGCTACTCATATTGATGGCTCCATCATGTATTTTACTACGAAAATATGTGTGTTCTTTTATCCCTAACAAAAGAAGGGAAAACTCTTTTATCTGGCTGCCTAGAACTTTGCCAGATAATCGCTGGTAATATTTCATAACCATAAAATATCAATTGTTCGTCTACAGTTTTTGGTTTCCCGCGCATAAATTTAAATCTTTAACGACTGCGGGCTGGTTGCGAGGGGAGCCGTAGGACTTTGCAGAAGTGACATCAGCAACAGAATTCATGGCAGACAGGCAGACAAGTGTATCGAGGACAAGTGACAGTTATAGCGGCAGCCGTCGTTACAACGCCAGAAACAACCAGCCCTTCAGTACCTCATGGGGGGGGGTCTACTCTGTACACTGTATGTGTGTCGAGAGGAAGGAACAGCTGCAGGGAAGCATATGCCCGACAATAAAAATGTACGCCTGATTGAAGTTTGGAAGATTGTGATTTTTCACTCGCTGGAGCATACACACAACCATTCGCATCCCCTGCGAAAAACAAAAAAAATAACGGGTGGTTATTTTGCGCTGAATTATTCATAAGGCAAAATCATCTTAAAGTGTTTCTCGACCTACTGGGGAAAAGCATCGCTTGGTATGCATAGTTGTTCTTTAAGCAAAACATAGTTTTCTTATACAGCTTGCAATAATCCTTGATTACAACTCGGATTTATTCAGATCATACTTCGTAAACTGGTTGATATTCATTACTGATTTTGAAAGAATCCCTGATTAAAATTTGGAATTTATCAAAATACATATTTCAGCTCAAAGCAATTGAATGCTTAACGAACTGAAAACCCAGCCATAAAAATTCCTTATAATAATCCATTATATAATAAATTCCTCTAAGAGCTAAAGTGTAAGAAAAACGATATTAAATCATTATCGGAAAACACGGAAGCAGCTGCTGGAAGGGAGGTGCTGTAGGACGCAAGCCGTGACAGTTACAAAACATTTTACAAGCAATGCAACAGAGACAACAGCCCAGAGACAAGAGTAGAGAGTGGTGTTACCAGGGTGGGGGTTTGCTTATAGAGGAAGACCCGACCATCAACGACCAACCAGAGTCAACGATAAAGTTGTCATAGTGTGAAGCGAACAATTCATCAGCGTCAATGTGATAAATTGTACTTCCACCGCACCGAAATTGCTTGAAATTTTTATTCCGAACGCAAAAGGGAAGGCATTGAAAGAGGAGAGATGGTATATATCACAAAGTAGAACAAGATAAATTAGCCGTTTCAATTGAGATATAAACAATACAATGCTAACATTAAGCATACGCACAGTGAGCATGTCCATGTTGATGATAAGGCAAAGTAAACTAGAAGTGCGTCGGTAAACTTGCACAAAAATGTTTGTCAAATTCGCAGTTTGAATATTATCTTAAATCGTCTATCTTTTATACCTACGTAATTTATAACATTTTTTATATTCTTTTAAATCTTCAGATTATGCAAAATGTTTTTTTAATATGCAAGTCTCGTTTAAATCAGATAAAGGAGTTTAAATTTTATAACTTTTTGTGGGTTTAAGATAAAGTGCCATATTCTATATATATATATATATATATATATATATGAAAACCACAGATAATAATCATCAACATGACCGCAAAACCAAAATGAAAGCCAAACCGTAAACACTAAAATCAGTTGACATATTGTTTTTAGGTAGCTACCAAAGGTATGTTCTATTTTGCAGTATTTACCTTTTAATTATACAGTACTTTAATTGGCTAATAATGACTTTGTTCAAGAAAAGTTTTTCAAAAATAGTTGGTTGTACTAAATTTTACTATTAAGAATTGTATATACATACAAAACATGTTTATTGTAGATTAAACATTCCTTACTTTTTAATAATTTAATAGTTCCGCAAAACCTTTTAATAATTCACATTGACAGGGTGTGGAGCTACCCTGTGAGAATTCAACAGAAGCCTTTGAGTAAGCTAGATAATTAAGCTTCAGCTTGAAGGACAGACCCTATGAGTGGCAGCCACACTCCGTCTGTGAGCTGGGGGCCATGTCTGAAGTCGCGTTTTGAGGCGCGTCCGACTAACTAACTAAATGGCTGGATGAGTAGACAACAGACACTACGAGACTGATTGACTGACTGACTGGCTAACTGACTGACTGCCTGGCACTGACGACCACACACAATCCTGTCGCCAAAGAACCTTGGGGTGGAACTCGGAGGATTGGAGGTCTGCCACCTTTTAGAAGAAACCACAGCGCGCCTACGTAGACTTTGACTGACAGCTGTTGACTGTTGAAGCGCTGACGACCGCATGCTGTTGTTAACGACTCGTTTTGACATATTGAATTAAAATGCAAAATACCCTGGCATGGCTAAGGAAATTACAGTCACTCAAAATAGTGTACTATTCGTCTGCAAATATAAATCGAATTTCCTCTGAATCTTTGCTTATCACATTTACTCCTCCTTTTCAGTTATGTGTATTAATAAATTTGAATACGAGTACTTCTGGAGGGCCTGACAAGATCATAAGCCTGCATTGAATTTAAATGCAAATGGAAAAACTATTTTCTCGGCAAGGGAAAAAACGCAAATGACGCTATTAAAATGCAAACAATTTTTCTCTACTTATCTAAGAATTTACACCAGACAGCAAAGGGAACAAAGATGAAACTATATGGTACCCACAAGTTATATGCAGCTCTCCTTGAATATAATCAATTTTGTATTTATTTAACAGTTTTAAAAGTTATTAACATAAACCATAGGTAAGTACATGGAAATATTATTCTTTTCAGTATAGAAGAAAATAGTTAAAATGAATCCTTTGAATTCTTTAAAAAAAAAATGTGTTAAATATACTCCAAATGAAAAGGCCCGCAGGCTGATAGAAGCAAATTGGCGCCCAGTCTGTGGATTATTCTTGCTTATGCCATGCTTTAAATTCTAATTAAATGCAGGAAAGTAAAATATTTTGTTTTAATTATAAACCTGCACGAGTTTTTCCTCATTTCATGGCTGTCTGTGTGTAGGTGAAGCAGACAATTCAGCAGCAATTCCATTTCGACACCACATTTAATGGTCATTTAAGGTAATAAAACTACCTGACTAATACACCTAACCATGGATGTACTTTTTATTTAGCTTCCAAATTAATTGAATTGAGGTGGGGAAGAACCATGGTTTAAAACGGGTAAAAAACACTCCGAAAATTAGTTTCGCTGGCAATGGCCATTCCATTAAATCTACCCCTAATATAAAGTAATGGTGTTGAACTAAAAGTAACTAAAATTAATTGCGGTTGAATTTGTATTGAAATGAGCGGTAGAGAGATTTGAGTCTTACTCATAAAGAATAATCCCACAAACAAATTCTAAAATTATAACGCCTTAGTTTCATGATTTAAATTGTAATGTTTTATTTGTGTAAGAAAGTGAATAAACCACTAAAATATTTTAACAATATTAATTCGTGTAACCCTTGAACTTTATGCTAGTCCTGAAATACTTTCCATATAACCAAGTAACTGCAAACATAAAGTACTTTGGCTTTTTATGAGACTTTCCCAGTGCGGTTTTGGTTAAATGGCAACTAATAACGGCAAAACCAACAATAAACTCAAGCCGAAAACACATAAAAGATACTTATGTTCCCAGGACAATTTATTCATTCGGTTTCATGGGCAAATAAGTGAGTGGATTTCGCTTTGATGTTGGGCAAACGTAGTTGAATCCCGAGGCTCGAATGGCAATAAAAATGAAACTATGCGTTAATTGCAATTCCCAATTGACCACAAAACGAAAACGGGCCCCACAATTCCCAACATAAACTCGACTGGGGCCTTGACAAACGATCGTGGGCGTGTGGCAGTATGTGGCTCGTGGCATAAAGTAGCTATTACCGTTAGTTATGTTGCCACCCACAAAATTCCGCAATTAATGTGTCTCCCTTTTTGCGGAAAAGAGTGGGTGTGTGTTTTTGTGGTCAAAATACCAGCAAATATTCGTTTTGTGGAAATGAAAGTTGTGCGGAGAGCGTAGAAAAGTATGCTACATTTTTGCACTTTGTTTCTGTTTCGTTGAACTTCAATTATCTTTTACCTATCTGTTACACCTTTTGTTACACTTTTTAAATACAAGAGCGTATTAAATTCGTCGGAAAGAATGTAACAGTTAAAGAAAGCATTTCCGACCCTAGAAAAATACATCTTAAAAAGGCAAAAAAAAAACTAGTGACGATCGCACCTTCAACTTACAAAAATTCTGACGAAAATGTATTATTTGATTTACTAAAAAAAATACACTTTCTAAATTTGTCTCGTTCCGAACGCCGCAATACAATATCCCTGTGGAGGTAATTTTCTGTACATAGAGAAAAAGTTTGCGCGTGAAACAGCGGATTTGCTGCATGCATATCCTCATCCCTCTCGCACTCCCTTTAGCTGAGTAATGGGTGTCTAAAAGTCAATGCATTGCTTTTTTTCAAGTTCTCAGAAAATTTTTTTCTTAACTGCAAAAGGATTCTGCTTTCTTTCGAGAAGTGGTCTGACAAGCCAACCCCAGTAAGTCAAGATAAATAATCAAATGACATAGTAAACATTTTCGAAATCAAACACTGAAAACACCCAAAAAACACGGTCGTTTTAGCGGCTGTGGAATGCAAACGCATTCGGGAACGAAAGGAAACTTGACATGTTGTCAAAAGTATCAGTTGCTACTATGGAAGGACATAAAAATACAACTGGGGAGTCGTGTAGAGTTAGCTATGATACTGATACTCACTGCCCTAATGCCCTTGCTGATTACCATTGGCACAAAGGTTGCGAAGTCCATGTTTCCATCCGAGATTGAATTGGAAAAAGCCCCCGGTCCGAAAAATGTCAACACAAGTTCGTAAGTAAATATATATTTTTGGAGGCTTAGTTAAGTAAAGTTTTGTTATTGATCTGTTTCAGTTTTAATGATTTGTACTTTACACCTGAAAATGGGATAGTTGAGCAAATCATTGCTGAGCTTGCTCATAGCATCAACTGCAAAAATTTCGTAGGTTATAGCAGTCTGCGTGAACTTCATATAAAAATGGCACAAAACCAAAAAGCAGTCGGTATTGCGTTCCCCTATGAATGGTTTAGCATTAGTAACTTCCCGGATACGATAAATTTTACAATATACACTCCGGCATTTATAAAAAGAAAGGGTTTTAAATATTTTGAATCGGGCTTCTTATTGATACAAGATCAGTTGTCACAGATATTCATTGAATTCAAGAGCTCCACATTTAAAAATAATTCGAAGGTTAAGATGAATCATTTTCCCTACCCTAGCTATATGCCAAGTCACTATGCGGAATCGACAAAATTCATGACATACATGATGTTAGTATCGTTTTTTTACCCCTGCATAACAATTGCCCAGGTACGGTAAGCTTAATAAGTAGAGTTCCTAAATTGATAATCATATTTATTGTTTCTTTTTTGATATTTTTCCTAAGAACATCGTAGCGGAAAAAGAGCGCCAGCAAAAGGCTATTCTGAACACCATGGGGTTTAAAAACTCTATTCATTGGTTGGCCTGGTATACAAAATCGATGATACTCCTTATGCTATGCTTGTTGATTATAATAATTATTTTTGCCATCGGATCGATTTATGAATTCAGCAACCTGATTTGCCTTATCATTGTACTTATAGTGTATATCCATTCACTCGTATTCTTCGCCTTCTTCGTAAGCTCTTTTTGCTTCAAAAGTTCTTGGGCTGCTCTGGCCACACTTTTGCTATACCTCGCAACGGGCATTCCCTTTGTTATTGTGGGTGCGCAAAGATCGAGTCTTGCCTCTCAAGTGGCAGCTTCTTTGGGTCTTAACTCTGCTCTGTTCTATATTTTGGATTCCGTGGCCACAATGGAACTGCAAGCGGTGGGAGTCCAGTGGCATACCATGGCCAAAACAGCATCCTATGGCCATAAGTTAAGTATAGTCGCCTACATGCTTATAATGTTCGCAGTTAGCTGGATCGAGATGATCATCTGCTTGTATATAGAGGGTGTGCGACCCGGCGAGTTTGGAGTTCCCCAGGCATGGTACTATCCATGCCAAAAGCGATACTGGTGTCCTCGGCGATATGTACCATCTGTTTTCTACGAAGAACCTATTTTGCCCATGTCGTCCAAGAATAATAGTTTCTCTTTTACGAGTCCACCGCGACCAACCTGGATTAATCCTCATGATCGAGGCCAAACTGACAGTCAGAAGTCATCGAAATACCAAAGAATTAACGTCGAGGTAAGAAATATCAGCAAGACATTTGGATATCGCGAGGTTGTAAAGGATGTATCCTTTAATATGTACGAGAATGAGATCACTGCCTTGCTGGGGCACAATGGGGCTGGAAAGACCACCATCATACTGATGCTCTGCGGTATATTGCCACCCACCTACGGATCAATGATAATCAATGGATTTGACATTTTTTCAGATCGCAGATTTGTAAAAACTAACTTGGGCATCTGTCCGCAGCATAGTGTGCTTTTTAAGGGCCTCAGTGTGAAGGATCATATTTACTTTTTCAGTCGCGTGAAGGGCTACCAAAAAACAGAGGCTAGGATGGAATCTGATTTATACATCGGCAAACTAAACTTGGTGAACTGTAGAAAACGTGATGCCCTAAAACTATCTGGTGGCAATCAGCGGAGATTGTCTTTGGCCTGCGCTCTTTGCGGAGGTTCCAAAATAATACTCTGCGATGAGCCATCTACGGGTTTGGATCCCAGGGGGCGCCATGATTTCTGGCGTCTATTGCAGAAGGAGAAACTTGGTCGCACCGTCCTGATGACTACACATCTCGTCGAGGAGGTTGAGATCCTTGGCGATCGCATCGGCATCATGACCGAAGGACAACTGCGGTGCTACGGTCCTTTGGGATTCCTTAAACAGTCGCACAACACCAGCTACACACTCTCCTGCGAAATGGCTCCCAAAGCCAATGTGGATAGGGTGACGGAGCTGGTAAAACGCTATGTGAGCACGGCCACATTTGTAATACGGGGTTCGGATGTTAACTATAAGCTGCCACGAAACAAGATTGACAAATTTTCGGATTTGTTTCGTCAACTGGAGAACAATAAAACGACCCTTGATATCATTAGCTATGGCTTGATGGATACCGGTCTGGAGGAGATCATACTAAATCTGGACTCGAACCAAGAGCCACGCTTTAGGGGTGGATCAGATGAAGATGAAAAAGGTGAGACTATGTCCTTGATTTCTTTTTATAAAATACAGACAAATATCATATCCTCTTCATACTCTATATTCAACCTAGTTCTTTAAATTATTTGCCCAAATCTGTTTTATTATAACTCTTTTGCTTAAATACGACCTTAAGAAAGTTAAAACAAAAGTTGTCCCAATTTTGATTTGCAGAAAAAGTAGATTCTGGAACCCAAACTATGTATTCGGCCCTAGCAAAAACAAGAGGAGCGCCACAACCACAGGCAGAGATACAACTACAACCGATTATAAAAAGAAAGAGAAGAAACCGAAAAAGAAACCAGAACGGGAAAAAAAGCCAGAGCCGGAAGAGTCCAGAAAGCCTCCAGAATTGAAGCCGAAACCATTTGAAAGACTTAGGGTATTGCCCAGAAGAAAAGGGACCTGCATGAGCAAATGGCGCGCCATGATGATCAAGAAGGCCCATCACACATCCTCTCATGTTCTCATGTTTGTTTTAATCCTGATCATACCACTTATATATTTTTTCTTAGTCATTGTGACCGGCGGTTTGGAAAAGATAGCCAGATATCAATAATACCCACTGAGTTCCCATTGTCATTGGACTATTATAACTATGATGAGATGATCATCTTACTCGAAGTGAATAAGGGTTTAAATGAAGAAAGAGGGAAAGCCTACGAGGAATCGGTTGGAGCAGCTGCAACGGTTCGAGAGGTAGACTCAGTTTTTTCGTACCTTTTCGAAGCACCACCAATAGTTCGCCGCGATATAAAGCGAAGATTTGTATGTGGTGCTTCCTTTAATGACTCCTCAGTAGTCACAGCATGGTTTAATAGCGATGCCTTTGAACACTCGGCACCCATTGCATTGAATCTGGTTTATAATGCCCTGGGAAAGGTGGAGATTGGCAGCAGTTTCAACATTTATGTAAGCAGAGGTCAAATCGAAGATTTCGTTGTGAAACACAAAACAAACACTAAGGCATGGGTAAAGCATAGGTCAAAACGACAGGATGATGTTGATTATGAGGATTATACAGACAACGAAATTCAAGAAAGTGACGATTATATCCTAACTGAAAAACCACCGATGGGTCCAGCTGATACTGATTATGAGAGACCGGCTCCTAAGCCTGACTTAACATCTCATATGCCTATTTCAGAATCATCACTAGTATTATATAATGAAAAGGATAAAATGTATCTTATCTTTGGTGCCATTATTATAATAACAGCATATCTTGCCTTAGCCCTAAGTATTTTTAGCTTGTTGGTGACGGAGGAACGTGTAAAGAAAATAAAATGGCTACATGAAATACAAGGATTGCCTCCGTCATTCTTTTGGTTGTCCCACTTCGCTTGGGATTTACTGATTTTTTCTATCTTTATGCTGGCCCTATCCCTTGCTCTATTCAAGGCTACAATCTGGTACCATGTCTTAATCATGCTTCTACTTATTGGTTTCGCCTGCTTGCCTTTTGTATATGTATGTAGTTTGATGTTCAGAAAGCCAACCACTGCGTTCTCTATGAATTTTACGATTATAGTGTTTACGGGTAAAGATTTCTCGATAAGTACAACAAATATTATATTTTACGTTTTTGATTAGGTGGAATACTATTTTGCGCTCTCTACTTATTAAGATCAGCTTTTGGTAGCAGCTTATTTGTAATTTTTCCAATGTACGTTGGTGCCTTTGGCCTTTTTAAATGTCTTTCATGGCGTGAATATTGCGAACGAGAAATACTTCCTCCGATCGATCAGCTTGAATGCAATTTCGGAAGCTGTAATGTATTCTGCGCATGCAAACGTAAGTCCAAATTTCTATTTCAAATTTGTTATAATAATCATTATATTTGTTTAAGCGGAAAATAATTGGATAGAGGTTTGGCTACTGCTAATTCATGGCTTTGTCTGGGTTTTCTTTCTGTGGTTTTCGTCGTATGCACGCGATCTTATCCACATTTTCACATATAGGAAGTCAAACAGAAATTGGAATTATTTCGACAAAGACAACAGGGTGCTCGACGAGGAAAGAAGAGTGGCCCTAATACCGAGCTACGAGCACGAGGAATATCCACTTATTGTGGATCAGGTCCAAAAGAATTACTTACGCACCAAAGCCGTCAGATTAGTGTCATTCGCGATAAAACCGTAAGTATTGTTTGTTTTAGATGATATCCCAAATTACTTTACACCGAGTATCAATAGCGGTGAGTGTTTCGGCCTTTTGGGATCCAAGGGAGCGGGAAAGACATCCGTTTTCCGGATGATCGTGGGCGAGACCAGGATGTCGGCTGGTAATATCTACGTAAAGGGCAATAGCTTGCGGGAACACAGGAATGTTGCCAAGAAGGAAATGGGCTACTGTCCTCAGTTCGATACTCTTCATGGCTTTCTCACCGGCCGTCAAACACTCAAGATCTATTGCCTGCTAATGGGAGTGCCGAAATATGATATCAAGCTGGTCTCAGAGCAGCTGGCCTACGACTTTGGTTTCTATAACCAACTGGACCAGAAAATCAATACATATAGTGGCGGGACTAGGAGAAAACTGAACGTAGCCCTAGCTGTCAATGGCGGGTCGGTGATTGTTCTGGATGAGCCCAATAATGATGTCGATCCCACGACCCGAAACTTTTTGTCGCATAAGATTGAGAGCGTGTGCAAGGGTGGTAGAGCCGTACTTTTGACCACCAACAGCATAGATGAGGTGAACGCCATGTGTTCGAGGGTCGGATTCTTGGTAGCCGGCGAGATGAGCTGCATCGGGTCGTTTCAATCGGTGCGATCAGAAGTTACTCATATCAATGTGCTAAGGGTTAAATTCAAGTCCAAGCCAGAAGAGTGAGTACTCGTTACTTGTTAGTAATCGTGTTATTAAAAATTCCCTAGTGATAGCATAAAATGATCGATGGTGCCGAATACTAATTTTGCTTATACCGAATGTTATAATCGTTATCGCTTCTAAAATTATATCATTATTATTTGATCGTTGTTAATTTATCATTACTATCACATTATTAATACCTTTCTTCCTTTCTTACAGACAAAAGAAAGACATTAAGAAATTCAAGGCTGATATGCAAAGGCTCTTTCCTATGGCAAAGTTACAGTAAGATCTAATTCGAACTGTTCTAATTGGCGATCATTATCTAATTTTTTTTTTATTTTAAGGGAAACACTGGACAATTATCTTAGATATCACATCCATAAGAATTCTGCAACATTGTCCAGCCTGTTTTACCAAATGGAACTAAAACGGAACGAAGGAAAGTTGGAAGACTACTCAATATCTCAGGCTTCTTTGGACCAGATTTTAATGGAACTAAATGACGTGGATTCTGTGGTGCTCGTAGACTCAGATACTTCTGAAGATTCTGACGAGGATAAAGAAACAAATACCGTCAGCAGAAAGCCAAGTCAAAAGAACGTGGTTAAAGAGAAAGCAAAGGAAGATGCCAAAAATAAAGAAAAAACCGAACAGAAAAGAAAAAAAGAAGAAAACAAAAAGAAGGGAAATAAAAAAAGTGAAAAGCCCATAAAGAAAAGACCACCAACATCCTCTGAAAGTACTGATAGTGATGAATTCGTTCCAGAAAAGAGTGAAGAACCAAAGAGATGGTTTTAAAATTGGGATATGAAAACCAACCTCTAAGGATTTCGTAGGTCTTTGTATTTTTTTCCAGTAAGACAAGAAGTATTTATATTTTATCACACTCTGACTTTCATAGCTCTAAAACAAAGTGTCGGGAAGCGGAGCAGTCGACCGTATTTGTATTCATTAAGGAATTTCCGCAAGTTTTCCTGCGTTTCTTTTTTCTTCATCCTTTTGGTTCTGCACTTTGACTTTTTGGTGTGCCCGGCTGCGTTCCGAGGGCAACGGTTGATTAAAATGTCAAATGCCTTGCATATTTTAAATGCCTTCGTGTCAACCCCAGAGGAAAATTCATCCCAAAATTGTGGCTCAAATTGAAAGCCACCAAGGACCTTACAACGGGGCAATTAAGGATGAGAAGGCCTCAGCAGTAACCAAGGACGAATCCCTTATTATAAGAATTGCGCATGTTTAGATGTTAGGTGTTTAAGCATTACATTCCTGGATATAATTTGTACTAATATTTCGTTTCTAAATTGGTAGGGATATTTATGTAATACTTTTAAAGTCAAAAACGTATCATAAAAAAAATGATTAATACTGTGAAAAAGGTGAATGGAATAATAATAATATTTAAGACAACGGCTTTGCCAATTGCCTGATTTAGTCCATTTTTGTACCCTTTCCTGTTTATTACCATTATAATAAGGATTCCTTGGGTTATTACCTGAAACGAGAAGAGAGAAAATAGAAAACATCAGATTAGTTGCATTGAAGCAGTGCATGCAGAAATAGTTCAGGCCAAACAACAAACTTAAATTAAAGTCCAACTTTGAAAAATGGCAACCGAAAGTCGAAAGTTTCCCGCTTATCAAGTGTTGGGCAAGTTAGCGATTGCCGGAGCGAAAAACAAATTGTTGCTGGCCTGCAACCAATGGTGCTTAAGATAAAGCTCCACAGCCAGCGACAACGATGGCAAATACTAATTTTACAAGGAAACGCGGAAACGGAAAATGCCCAACTACGCAAGGCAAAGTAGCACGAGTTCGCTCGCAAAACTTTCTCCAAACCAAAATGAAAACGGGGATAACAATAGCAACAACAAAAAAAGAAAGCAAATGGTTGGGAAAAAGCAACAAAAGCGAAAGCTAAAATTAGTCAAGCGCAAAATCAAGGCGCTGACTCTTCGGTGCGGCGTAATGTTGATATATTAACTTGTTACCATCGCTCTGGACGGTAAGAAAAGAGGAGGTTCTGAAGCAAAGAATTAATTGCAGTCAACTGAGGGGAACAAAGGAATTGTTAAAGTACGTGCTCCTAAAGCTTTAAGCAGATCTTAATAGGGAGGTATACATTTTTCTTCATTGCTAAATTGTTTGTAGTTTGGTTTAATATTTTTAATAGAACTTAGAATATATCATTAAAAATATTATAACAGAATCAAATATATAAAAATCATACATATTAAAACATAATATTGATAAATTCATTTAAAAGTACTAAGGTTTATAAGGTTTAGAAAAAAAGCACCATGTATTTTAAATGAGGATTTTATCATAAATTATGATTTCTATCACTTCTTACACCTTTTACAAAAAGGCTTCATACGAATAATGGCTTTACAAGGGTATATTAAACTGTGGACCATAGATTTAAAATCTTTTTCTTACTCCCTCTAAAAACTTTAAGCAACTTTTTCGTTTTCTCACTGACGGGATAAAATAATAAATCACAGAAAATATATGCGCCCGACACTCTTTCCTTCGTTTTACTTTGTTTTTGCCCTAATGTTCCTTGCGTACGTGGGTGTGTGTGTGTGTGTGTGCCGGAAACACGTCAGCATGTTATGGCACCGGAAGCTGATATACTCGGAATCGGCGGAGATGGAGGAGGTGGCCAGCCAGGTTGGCCCGGCCAGGTTGCATGTAATGAGGCACTGATTGGTGCCTGAGAAATTGCCGCTTGCAGCTCGCCCTGCTGATTATTTTGCGCCATTTTCCCATACTTGAGCTCTGCTACTTGGAAGCTAAATCAAACAAGTTGACACTTGCCACGCCCTGCTTTTTAGCACGGGCGCATGCATAACTTTTGCCACTTTATGTGGATGTGGCGCTGGCGTCAAGAACTTAACCTGCATCCTGTTGCAGTTGGCAGGCAAAATGTCGCAGACCGACCAGACGCACACCCCCCCCTACCTTTTTGGCCCATTATGCATTGTGACACTATTTTCTTTTTTCTTTCTTTTTTTAGAGCTCTTTCCCTGTTTTCCCCGTTGCTTGGGAATTTTCGCAGCTCTGTTTCTCAAGTGGCAAGCGGAGCTGTCTTTGCCACGACGGCTGCCTGCACTTTGCATAACTTTGTTGCATACTTTCGAGCGTGTTTCTTCCCCGGATCATGTTCCACAGCTCCCGATGGAGAAGTTTCCCTATTCAGTCCTGTCCTGCCCCGTTCCGCTGCCACATTTTGTATTATAAATGCATAAACATTATGCCTGACGTTTACTTAATGCTCGCATAACTCGAGAGGTGGAAAAACTTTTCAATAATTACTGGGAAAAACATCACAGAGGCAAAGCCACCTAAACAGGTGTGGTTAAAGCAGGCGGAAAACTTTGCATGTGCGTAGAGAAAGAAATGTGTGCATTTATTCAATTAGGATTGCAGTGTTATACTAAATTAGTAGGGCCTTTAAAATAACGGTAACATGGGAGAAATCTTAGATATTTAATAGCTGTTACAATGTCAACTTTCTATAAAACGATTATTTTAAAAATAGTTTTCAGCTATAAAATACTAATTCATTGATAAAAAAATATATGGAACATATAAAACAAAAAACAAAGTGGAAACCACAAGCCAACATTTTAAAATTTTAGAAAATATTTTCAGTTGTAAAATATTAATTCAAAAAAATATAAAAGTGGACACTATAAATCAAGCTTTTTTAAAATGAATAAAAAATCTTTATTAAAACTTCTTCTAAAAGTATATATTGCGAACAGCGCCTAATGTAGTATATACCAAACCATCCTATATTAGTGTAGAATAAGTCACTTTTAATAACGTTACCAGAGTCTGAAAATGTAAAGTAGTCGAGATAGAGTCGTATTCCAGAGCAGAACGTGTGCAGAACACTTTTAGATATAATTTCTATATGTCTATATATATATCCAAGACAACTATCCTGAATAAAACCTTATAGCTACCCTTCTCAATATGTATAACAAAATTACTCACAGAAATTATAAGACTAATAATTTCTAAGGGAACAACAAACAACTCTTTTAATGCGAATTAGAGTACCCTCATAAATACAAATACCAAATAAAATGGGTGCAAAGCAGGAAAGGGTTCCATTTATTTCATTAAAGCGACTTTACAGAAACACTCAAGGGTATTATAATTTTCAATTCCCGGCAGTGAGCCTCTCCACCACCGTCAGCCTTTTATAAGATGAGCAACGGCGAGAAGTCAACAAGGCAGAGTCTTATCCTCCGCCATCTCTTCTAGAGCCCTTGAACATATAAGCAAATATCTCGCCGTGCTTTTAAGCCCGTCAAAGCTGCTGCAATTACCTTGTTAATACGCATAAAAATGCTGTAACAAGCGGGACTGAGGAGACTTCTGGATCCCCACTTTGAACCTACAAAGCTGGGGAATCCCCTATGAGGCAGCTTCTGCCGTCAGCGACAAAAACACAATCAGATTAAAAAACAATGCAAAAAGAGCCAAGTTTTCTTTTTCATTTGCCGTAACGCACAGCAGTTTTAATCCGCTTTTAATTGCCTGAAATCCAATTGGCGACCTACATAGCAACCTGGTTCAAAGTTACTCTTATCCCCTTTCCCCATTTACCCCATCATCATCCTCTTACAATCCCAATCCCGTACACCCACAATCCGTAACCCGTAAAATGGACAAGCAATTAGTAGAGTATAAAAACGGAGAAACTAGTTTGTTGAACTGCCGGTGGAGGAGTTGGGGTCAAATAAAAACTTTTATTCCAGCAGACCATGGAGGTGGTAAATTTGAAAAGTAGGCAACAAAAAGTGTTTCACTTAACCGCCAATGATGAAATTGCCCTGGCCACAAAATGTTTTATTAAATTTGCTAATTTACTTAATTAATTCTCCGATTGGCAGTAAGCCAAGTTTTATTTTCAATTGGATTGTAGCTGGAAACCTTTCAAATAAACACTTTTAATTGTATTTCACAGCAGATTGCTGGCAATAAAAAAAAAGAAGTGAAAGAAATGGACTGAGAAAACCACAATATTATTATTACCAAGTTTCTGTCGCAAGAAAACATAATTTCCACCTCAAGTTCTAATTTTTTCTTACCAGTTTTCGTTGTCAGTTGGCTTTGTTGACTCTCCTGCCTGAAATTGACATTATTCACTGGATGGATAAAGTGCTTTGCCCCTATAATTGTCTTGACTTGACTGGACTTAACCTGGTTTGGCTGTCATATTTTGTTACCCACCAAGCTGCCAAAACCACCATATTCTAATTGTTATTGCGTTTTGACAGGTACTCAAGGAGGGTGTTCCCCTTTTCAAACTGTCACGCGAAAACCCCCAAAAACCACTCAAATTTTTTACATCAAAGTCTTGAAATTGTAAGTGAAACACATTTATTTTCTTGATATATACACTTAAAAAATGTCTTACCAAAATGAAGTGAAATGAAATGAAATCTTTTTGGGAAAGTTAACTTTTGTATAATTTCTATTCATTAAAATATTTCAAGGGTCTGCTACCAACTTACCCTCCCAATAGTTTTCCCTAAGGTGTAGGAATCTTCAACTACACACCTCCAGTACATAGACTTAATTCAAAGTCATTTATAATTTGCGATCCTGGGCAATGCCAACTAACCCGCACAAATTTATTATGGTCTAGTCTATGGGCGTCGTCCGGCGAGAGAATGAAGATAATAAATTCTCGCACTAAAACCTGAGCGACATTCAACAAAATAATTACCAGCATATTTCGAATGTCTCACGGGGAGCACCGAGCCACAATTTATCATTTCGCCCCAGTTGTGGGCGAACTAGTGGGTGTTTGGATGGGTGCGATGTGGAGAACAGGAGCTCATTTCATAACTCAAAAGCCTCGAGAGTCATTTATAAGGCTGAGAAGGCAAAAAGTTGTTTTTTCCTGCCAAGGGGCATGGGGAGACTTTGACTTGAACTTGTTATTTAACACTTTTCAGGCGAGGCGTACAACTGACAACTGGGCGTGGTCAGAGCTCTTGAAATACATACATATAGTACATATAATCATAGAAATGCACTACATGTGCAGGAGGAGGAAAAGGATGGATGGTCCAACATGCACGGACACTTGAGACAAGACAGTACGGAATCTCCGAAGTACTCGACGGGATATTCCGTTTGAAGTGCGAATAGTTTAGGCAAGCATTCGTCTATTTCCCATTATGTGTGTGCTGGTGTGTTGTTCGGTGTCAGTGTTTTCAGTTAAGCATGGCAAACACGTATTTAGTAATTAATTACACTTGGGTCTGAGAGTTAGACAGGAAGGGGAGGGGGTAGTGAAAGACCACGACTTCTAGACTCTCGGTTTGACATGTGATTATGCGCTTTTAGCATCTGTTTGCAAATTGGTACTGCTATGCACATGTGCTGTCACTTGTCATCTGTGCATTTTGGGATGCAGCTATCGTCCCTA